GAACATAGATACATTCATATAGTCTTCTTAATACTTGTACCTCTTCCATAAGTAATACCATCAATATTGAGACTCCACTGTATTTAACTGTAAAACAAGCAGAGAAAAAAATCAGGACCCAATTTCGTGGAGTCGGAAAGGCCTGAGATGAGTCGCCCTAAAAAAATCTCATCAACAAGAGAAACTTTGTCCCATGTGTGGTTTCACTAAATATTAGTTTTAGGCCACCTTCGACTCCTCAACCTGCGATTTTTTGTTTATGACCACATTGTTTCAGAATCGCATTTTGCTTATAATTTTTCATATGAAGTTAAATAATTGTTTTATATACAGTCAAGTAACCTAATTTCGTGCTAACCTATTCTTCGTGAATTTCCGGAAATGATTAATAATTTACATGTGCGACCTCGCGTGACCTTCGCATTTGCTTGTTTTGATAAACATGGATTATCTCTACAGTATCGGCTAGCAGAATGAATCCAGTAGTTTCAAGCAAGGTAAAATGTATTCATGTATACTTTGACAAATACAAAATGGCGCCTTTCAGTTATTACCAAACGTCACTATTTTTATCGGTCGAATTTCCTTATAATCCCAAGTGGTAATCGGAATTCCATGTGTAGTCTGCTAGAATGTATTCCAACGAATGACGTCACGTGATCAACTAGCGGATTCCGTGTCAGAACAAAATTTCTATGGAACACAAAGTGGGCCATATTCTTATGTTGTTTCAGTGACTTTTAGCATTAAATCACGCTACGTATCTTATTTTGTCAGTCACTATTCTTTTTAAAATCGTGGTTCTTTGAGGAATTGTCACTAGTTATAATGAATTGATATTAAAGATAAATACTAAGAGAAGTTAATTATACCACCGGTATCCATACAACGAGTTTTTCTCGACTTATTTATAGATCAAACATTGTACACGAAAATAGGTGACGCATTTTGCCGCCGTTGCCGAGTTGGTTGTTCATGAAATATGAAGGATTCATAAAGAAAATCGAAACAAACCAATTTTAATTATTTTGTAGAATATCCGAGGAAAAATCTAAGTCATAAAAAAAAAAATTTCGTTTTTTAATCTTTGACGCAATTCGGTGTTGAATCCTTATATGCACGAAAATAGGTTACACCACTGTATATATTAATATGGTATTTTGTTAGGGTTTATAGAAATTCCATTGGTAAAAAAAAAATAATAAGTGAATTTGATTTTACAGAGGGCAATATTGAATTCAATGTTTTACTGTTAATGACTAGTTCGACTAACTAAATGCAAAATTCTACTTAACGCACCATTCTCTGGCGGTTTATTGGGATAATTTAAAATTGTGAAGATGATTTCGGAAAGTCTTGGCCAATCTGCATCCAAATACATCACATTTATAAAGAGCACCAATACCATTGTCGTGCAAAATACACCAATAATATAGAAATGGAGGAACCATCTGAAAAATGACAAGAAACATACAAGCACATTTTAACATAATTGACCTTGTTATTGATGCAGACATTTGAAAAGTATCTAGTATTTTGGATATAACAATTAATCCCTATGGTATAGACTGTGAACGTTAGAGATCCCTCAACAGTTAGAAATCGTCAAAGGGTAGGCAATTGTTAATGCAGCAATGCATGGCGGTGTCCGTCTTCATTGGCCGATTAGGTGCAGAAAAGAAATAGGAAGTAAAAACATTTTTTTCTCAAACTCAAGAAAACAACATGCTAACGTCTAGATATTGTCAAGCGTTTACAAAACAGATTAGCCTACAGTATTATGCTGTTTAACACCATAACAATAAAAGGCTTTCGTTGCCCACGTCAAAAGCAAACGAGTCTACAAATGTATGAGTAGTTGGGAAGTTTCCACTGAAGAGATATTTTTTTAGATGTAAAAAAATTAAGAGGAAAATCATTTATTCAGTCCTCTTTCTCTCGCCCTTTATGAATTTTTACATGCCTAGTTTTGACTAATTTTTAGTCTACATTTGGAATTTGATGTCTGATATTGCGTTTTATTTCAGATTTTGTGAAATAATGAGAAATTTACATGCGGAAGGATAATTTAAAAAAAAATCGTTTTGTGTCGTAGTGACAGTCTAGGATGACAGTGACAGGATGTTGATAAAGTGTATTGGACTACTTTCTTTTTGATTAGCTCAAGATTTTCATAGTCATGAATTTTGTCCAAATACTAAATATTGGCCAGGCTTTCGTGTGAAACATTGGAAGGTTAATAACAGGATTTGTGGAAAAACTTATAAAAGGATGAATTTCTTAATTTAACATGGAAACAGATGGCAAATGAATTACTGGAGTAAGTCCATAAAGAATTCAATTAACAAAGTACTTAAAGGGAGCTAACTCCAGATTAAAATATAACGAACCTTTTTGGTACGTCTGTTTGAAATGATTTTATAGCAATTTTGGAGTTCCTTAGCTTTCCAAAATAAAACAAAGTATGTAAATACTTGTGAAGTGTCTCCGAAATTTGAAGATTCAATAATATTAACCACGCTACAATTGCAGTCGAAGTTAAAATCCATAATAAACAGCAAACTGATATCGCCATGTTTACATATTAACCCCCTTTATACTTTAGATAAGACTATCCAGTACGTACAAACTGTTGTCGAGTTCATCCAGACTTAACCAAGCATTACCAATGCAAAAACGAAAATCATATTGAAATAGTTCATAATAAGAAAAGAATTTCAGAACTGATTGTATGGGTAAAAAATCTTATAAAGCAAACTCGTCAAAACTGCATAATTGGGATTTTTCTTCGACGCTCTTACAGCCCCGTCGCCAGGAACGAATTGGTGCTGGGGCTCAGATATGCACTCAGAAATTTGAAGAATTAAAGGCCCAGAGAACTCATTTTGATAATTTTGAGATACCAAAAACATATCAAAAATATTTCTTTTTTATTTTGTACAAATACACTGTTGCAAATCGTTTCTTTCTAAAACAAAACATTGTAAATTGTACGTGAAAAGCTTTCATAAATATGTTTTTCGCTTTTATGTATACACTTGATCAACCTGTTTTAAAAGGGGCGTACTAATTGTTATTTTAGTTGAAACCTCAAGTAAAATATGGAAATTTGGCGTGGGTTTGCCATAGAAAACGGACGTTCAGATCAAAGTTGTACATAAGTTTTCCAACAAAATTCATGCTTACGTAAACTTTTTATCGCGTTTTGTTGTTCTAAAATTAATGGCAGGATACATTAAGGTTAAACTTTATTTGCTGTAATTATGGACACCCAGTTTGAACATAAGGTTTATCAAAATGGTGACATCCCCTCTTCGGACCACAGAAAAATGTATTCTACTGTCACTGCCAAAGTCGCGTTCAATGTATTCTCCACCTTCCTAAATTAGAAAATTTCCCAGGGTAAGACCCCCTAACCCTCTAAAATCACAAAGTTGGCGATGGGATGAGCTCAGTCAAGAAAATCCTTGCTACGTCACTGTTAAGTAGATAACAATGGGGAATTAACTAGGGATTACAATATTATTATAATAATTGTAGTTTCGAGGTCAACGATTTCTTCAGTTGTAGGTATAGCAAAATTAAATTTATATAAAACTGCCGGTTTTGATAATAACGATATTAAAATAAGATTAAGATAATGACCCGGCGAATAATTCCTATTTCCGGAAACGTTTCCAGAGCATTGTTGTCTATTCCCATATAACTCAAGTTGTTTACGTGGTTTTCCTGCTCTGGCCGATTATTTTTATACTCTATAACCTATGGTACCTTTGAATCAACATTCTATTATCGTAAAGGAATACTACATCTTAGAATTGACATAAAAGTGTCAGACTTGCTTCATTATAGTTATGCAACTTATGTCCAATTCCTTTGTGTTGCATTACATTTATTTTAATAACAATAAGACATGTTCAATTCAAGCATGCAAGACGTTGCTGGGAATCAGTGACAAGAATATGAATTACTTTGTACTGCCCGAGCGTGTGTGTGGTAATTAAAAAACAGTTAAATACAAAGATGATTATTATTAATGTACGATATAGATTGATCGACATTCAATACAGACATCGTCATGCATTAGAACAAAGGAACATATTATTCAAATATTCAAATGGAATTATATACTATTTTTCTGCCTGCGAGGAATGATGTTTGTGCATCAGAATGGAAATTGGTTTCAGCTAAATATTGACTTACACAATAATCTCCCCTAAATCCTGATGTACTCAACTCTTAACGGAGCTCATTCGATTTCTTTCATTTTTTAAAAGTGAAATAAAGTCCTTTGACTAATTTTGGACACTTTCAAACCACCACTGTACATGCTTAGTTTCGGAGATGAAACGTTGCCTTGGATGCCCGGTTTGAATATCGCGTGACAATATTTACTACCTACCGAAGAGGGTATCTAGTAAAGCGAAGCACGGTAGAACTATGTAATAGTTTCGGCCACGTTTAAGAGTCGATGCCCCCAAAGCACTTTTTAAAAGAATTACTTGTTAAACAGTAATTAATGAGTCGTGTGGATCGGTTATCTGAATATCGAAGATTGTCATTTTATAATATCTTTTTTTAATGTGTGATGCAAGTGTTAGGAAATCGTCCTTTTAAGCTATGGTAATTAGCACGGACTATTATGTGGCATTTAGTATGACCATGTGCGTACTTACTAAAACGTGAAACGACCAAGAACCGAGCAGGAAAACGACAGGGAACGATCTCAAACATTTTTGCGATATATTCTAAGAAAGCTAAGTAGGCCAAACAATTAATTAATTAACTTAATAACTCACAAAAACATGAAAACTTTAATTGACCCATTCTTGATATTTTTAATTCAATTATCATTATGCTTTTTTGTCTCTTTAACATCCATGTTTTTAAAACAGGTGCCGTTTATAATCTTCGCTACTATGTGTCTTAGACGAAATATGGTATAATATTTGTTGGTTTTTGAAAATTAATGTTATATACACCAAACTGGGTTATGTGCGTTATGTGTAACAGTGTTTGGAATTAGAGTAATACGGCTCTAGATCTGTGTAACAGTGTTTGGTAGTAGAGTAACATCGTTCTAGCCCTGTGTAACAGTGTTTGGAATTAGAGTAATACGGCTCTAGCTCTGTGTAACAGTGTTTGGTAGTAGAGTAACATCGTTCTAGCCCTGTGTAACAGTGTTTGGAATTAAAGTAATACCGCTCTAGCTCTGTGTAACAGTGTTTGGAATTAGAGTAATATCGTTCTAGCTCTGTGTAACAGCATTTGGAATTAGAGTAATATCGTTTTAGCTCTGTGTAACTGCGTTTGGAATTAGAGTAATACCTATCTAGTTATGTGTAACAGTGTTTGAAATTAGAGTAATATCGTTCTAGCTCTAACAGTGTTAGAAGGTATGAAGGTATTATCTTGACCTAAGCCGGAATTGAACCTTGGTTCTAGAGGAATTAAAATTGAGTTTTACGTCCATTATTTTCAAATTCAAACGGGCAACGCTTTGCACGCATTATTTATTGATCGATTATGCGATTCCCTCGGGAAATTTGAGACAAGAAATTTTCTGGTGAAATATCGTGATTTGTAAGTGATAAATCCTTATTTTTCCGATCAAAATCAATATATAGGCCTACTTGATCCATGCCATTTCCCTCGAGAGGTGTCTGAGAATTAGTATGAATGAAAAGCTCACGAACGGTATTTCTTGCATGAGACAAAATGTTTTCTGATGAATTATAACGTACTATAAATATTTGGCTGAACCACTGTTTAAGTGTAGGTTTTCCATTGAACCCTCTTCCACCACATGCCCTACAACACTCTTGGGGATTCTAGAATTTATTGTAAACCCAAAATTACGTTGTCCTGTGGAACTGCAAGATTATGGAATTACGGAACCCAAATCAGAGAATCTAAATGTAAAGAAAAAATTAACATATATAGCGAAAAATATAAACTTAAGCAATCTTGATAATTGTATTGTCATTATATTTACACCGACGCTCTGGTGTTTTTTTTAAATTTTCAATTAAAAGCTTCAGGGCCAAAATTAATGATGTAAGCTTACCGATGCTACAGAAATACCATTGCGGTGCTAAAAATATACATGCACCTTCATTTCAATAATTCAGTTTCACTTTTTGAGACAAAAATGTCTGTGTTTTAACACTTTACAAAAATTGTGATTGTTTATTATTTTAGGAATTCAATTGTGTGACGTAATTTCCTATAAGTCTAGTATTAGTTGCCATTTTGCAATAGGGATGTTGTGTTGAAATATAATCGTATACTGAACTGTTAAAATAACCACATGCAATCCAACCACCCCTGCTGACAAAGTAGGTTGGTCCAAATAAGGGGCACTACTCTTGTCGGATATGACAATCATGTAATGGAATCCTTCTTCTCAATTTTGTAAAGTGTTAAAACACCGACGTGAAAAAAAAAGTGAAATTAGAAATATTAGAATGTGGATATATGTATATTTTTAAGCTTACATCATTGATTTTACGGCTGTTAAGCATATATAAGAAAACAATCAAAAAACTTTTTACTTTGTTTATACAATAGGTTTAAAAATAGTTGGGTGTTATTTTGGCTCGGAAGTAAAATTACAATTCTTTTTAATATATTGATAATGTCAAAGAGACATTTCCTTTTAATAATAGATAAACACCATTACATAATTTTGAACCAAAGCATTGATTAAAATCTTGACGTTCTGAAGTGGAATTAAAGAGAATGTAAAGAAGATTTCAAATTTATTATGCTTATCGGGGACAATGATGGCATCAATTTGCACTATTCCAATTTACAATCAGGCTTCTGCAAATCCGCTTAAACTAAGTGTATTATGACGTCACACCTCAAAATTTGCTTATATCACATAAGACCTTTGTGGAGTTAACGTCATAAAACACTTAGTTTTAGTACAATTCCTAGAACCACAAATGTCTGATTGTAAATTGGAATGGTGCATGATGCTATCAATGTCCCCGATACACATGCAAAATTTAGAAAACCCCTTTACAATCCCTTTAACCATTAATTATATAGCATAAGTACGATATTTCTTTTCTTTTGAATTCATCTTGCAAATCAAATCCAAAGCACTTTAAAATAAAGTAACATCAGAAAAAAATGGAAAATTACCCCTTTTGGTGTTTTAAAACTTAATGTGTCTGTATGAAATAAGCTTTTATCTTCACAATGATTGAACTGCTCAATAATTGCTAGTAAACTCATTAACTTCAATAATAACGCTTTTATAATGGGCATAGTTTGGAGTCGGGTGTGGGGAGGTCTCTCGGTTTAGTTTGCTAGAATATGTACTTTGTTTTCAACACCAACCAAACATTCTAGCGACGTTGTTTACTTTTAATGGCTCGATAGTTTTAGTTGAAACCTTTAGAATAAGTAGGAGACATATTTCTCTACAATTATGCGTTTGTTTCGTTATTTTTCATTATTTTTGTATTTTTTGATATTCCATCACAAACAAACAAAAATAGTGACATTTAAAGAAGGATTTTCTTATTTTTTAGTGTCAAATTAACTGTTTGATTAATTGGTGTTTCTAATGAATTACTCTCTACTCTCAATCATATCATTATTTTCTTGCATGTAATTAAGAGTTTTAACCAATCATAAAAGTCATAAAAGTATGTATTGTCTGGATAAACTAAAAAAGGTTTTTTGACCTTTCTTGATTGGTCACTCAATGGAATTCTGCTGGTATAGCTGATTATGAATTAATTATGGACATGTGAGACAAAGTGGAATTTTTCCAAGTCATTAGAACACCTCTACTTTCTATATATATATTACTCTCTATATATATATATACTTTATTATTATATTACATGAAACATACATGAAAACATGAGAACACCTCTACTTTCTTTTCATATAAGTATTAGCATTTTCATTTTCATGAATTAAAATAAGGGAACCCATCTTTAAATGTTTACTTAAATCTTTTAACAAGTTTTAGATACTGGAAATTAAAACTTTCAGATAAGTTAAAGGTAACATTTCTCACATTTTCATAAATTTGAGCTAAAAAAAATTCCCACTTACTTTAAAAAAATCCGACTGCCTCTTAAGCCATGAATTATCATTTGTCACCCATTCCTTACATTCAGTCGTTTTAGGATGTATTTCTGAAACTTCTGATACTAACCGACATGGATAGATCCGACCATTCTCTTTAAAGCGATGCACGAAGCTTTATTATCTTTTAACACCAGTAATTGAACAACCCATGAGTTTTCTACTCTTACTCTTCAAGTCTGTAGTCTATGGATGTCACTGTGGTTATTATCAATTTAAACAACATGTATATTCCTGGAGACATCAGGTTCACTGCGTGTAAAAGACATGATGTTTTTTTCGTAGTTGGAATTTTTTTTGGCTCAAACTTATGAAAACTACACACGAAAATCTGGAGAAACTTGACCTTTAACTTATCTTACCTTTAATATTTTATCGTCAAAACTATTTAAAAGATTTAGGTCGATGTAAACTTTTTAAGCTCGTTAAGCATTTTCGTAAAAATGAAATGAATGGAGTTTTACGTCCTACTTTTCTGCACCTTGTGGGCTAATGAAGACCGGTGGGTTCGTTTTGCCGTATTGCCCAACTTGCCGCATCGTGCCCAACTGAACAAAAACGACTTCTAAAAAGAAACTAAAGGTTTCTTAACGAGTTGTTTTTGTGCAGTTAGTCACAATGCGGCATGTTGGGCAATGCGGCAAAACGAACCCACCGAATGAAGACGGGCAACGCCAAGCAGGGTGCCATGAGGGAAATTTTGCCAGGACAGCGGCATTTTTTTTATTTCCAACTGTCGAGGGATCTTTAACGTGCACAGCCTGTAGCACACGGGGCCTCGGTTTATTGTCCCATCAGAACGACTAGACGCTTTATCCATGTCAGTGCCTCTCACTTGCATTACTGACAGGGGGAAACCGGGTTGAAAAATCCGAAGGTATTATCTCGACCTATGCGGGGATTGATCCTTGGCCTTCAGGTTCATTGTAGAGAAATGTGTCTCCTACGTATTCTAAAGATCACCTAAAAATATCTTTATGAGTTCCAACACCAAAATCAGTTTAATCTGCTTACATAAAAAATAATATTCACTCCGTTTTTAATTAACCCTTTTAAAACAAAATTCAGTTTGATCAAAAAAAATACATAGATATAAATAGCATAGAATAGAAATATTTTCAGGTTTATTTTAATAGTGTTTGATAATGAAAATTTTGCATACTGCCCATCTAATTAATTAAGTTATACAACAATCTCTAAGAATCTGGTAACGACTGGACGACTGATTCGCGTGCATTATATCCTCATAAGACTTTTTCCGTCTGCTTCTTTATTTAGACTTTAAGAAACTGTTAAAATCGATACACAAGATGATATAAGGCAGTGACTGATTAGCATTGTTTTTATCAATGTGAAGATTACCCCGAGTTAATTTTCTGATTAAAATTAATGAAACTGTAAACTAAAATCTAGAGAAATGTGCCTCTTACCTTGTCGGTAAGTTTTAATTAAAAATATCTTGAAGATCTTGACGTTTACGTAAACCTTTAAAATCTATCATTGTAAAATCAATAATGTTTTCATGCAATCTCTGCTGTTGACCTATTCCAAAGACTACAATAACTGCATCAACAACATCGTATACGGAATTTGGAAACTTAATCAATTTACGTTACCTATTTGCGCAAAGAAATAATTATTTTGATTATTTTTGACGATACTTCATAATCGAAAAGCTGACAGAAATAAAGACAAAATCTCTTTTTAATAAATGTTCGAGAAAGTTGTTGCAATTGATCCCAGACGTCAGTAATCAATAAATGAACAATCTGCCTTTCTTCAGTAAAAACTATTCGTATTTCAAATTGAATGCCTATTGAGTTGTGATTTTATTTTTAAATAACATTGTGTAAATGCTGAAATTCCGATAAATTTAACATTTCGATAATGCATTAGCTTTGTGTTAAATCAACTTGCTGTAAGCAATTGATACTTCTTATCTTTTAAAGCCTTCAGAATCGATTCAGCTGAAGACATATTCATGTTTATACTGAGCACTTATTTTTGTATTTTTATATAAAATGCACAATAGTCTTCTTAAGAGACATTTTGTTTCTGTTAACTTAAACTTCTATCATGTTTTCCATATGACCGAATTTCGAATTAAAGAGGACACCAAAGACGTCGACAATTATCAAAATCATGACATGATAAAGCTTTTAATTATCTA